CCAACATAATTCCTAGAGCAGATCTTTTAGAAAAACATCCAATCTTGATTTTAAAATTGTCAGTGATGGCCAACATTAGCTATGCAAACAAAGGCACTCTTCTGTCAGTATAGTTATGTGTCTACACTAGGGGTTTTGCTGGCATAGATATGTCGCTTGGGGGTGTGTGTGAATTTTTCTCACACTCCTAGCTGACATAGCTATGCTGGCAAAACTTTGTAGAGTAGACCCAGCCCTTATTTACCACCTATGTCCAAACCCTGCACTGAATACAAAATTAATTACCTCATGGGAGTTTCTAAGGTGCGTTCACTATAGTATCTGAGTACTTCACAAATATTGATGAATTTATCTTCACAATGCCCTTGTAAGGTGAGGTGGTTTTAACACCCACCCATACCCTTTTACAGTGGGAGAATGGAGACACAGAGAGAGATTGAGGCCAAAAATTGTCAGAAGTATGCACTAAACTTGGGGTATGTCTACACTACAGGATTAATCCGAATTTAGATAATTCGAATTTGGGAAACAGGTTGTATAAATTCGATTGTGCGCGGCCACATTAAGCACCTTAATTCGGTTTTAAACCACATTAATTCGGTGGTGTGCGGCCACACTACCCCATTAACTTAAACACAGTAATTCGGTGGTGTGCGTCCACACTAACCCTAATTCGAATTAACAAAGTCGATTTAGGCTCTACTCCGTTCGTCGAGGTGGAGTACAGAAATCGATTTAAAGGGCCCTTTAATTCGAATTAACTGGCTCTGTAGTGTGGACGGGTGAAGGGTTAATTCGGATTAAGGCAGCTAAATCCGAATTAAAGTCCTAGTGTAGACCAGGCCTAGGATAGACTGCTTGAGACATCTAAGGCTGTGATTTTCCAGAGTACTTACCATTTTAATAGGACATTATATGCTCAAAATACAGCTTCCATTGACTTCAGGTGAAGTTGAGAGTGCTCAGCACTTCTGAATATCTGACCTCAGGTGTTTCATGTTCGACACTCTAAAAATGAGGAACACACAATTAGTGGCTAAATTGGCTCAACTGGTTAAGACTAGTATTCTCATAGGAACTCTGTGGCAGAGACAGGGATAGTGTCCAATTCTCCAGGGTTGCATTCAGAAGCTTTTGCAACAAATGATACAGACGTACTAGAGCCAACAACCTTATTCACTACACAATCCTGATTCATACCCAGCATAGGTCCATCCTTTGCACTGAATGTGCAAAAAATAGCATGCAATCATGTAATTAAATACTGAATGATAGTGCATGTGGCACAAGCAACCTTAATGCTGTTTTTTCCAACCTTTGAGTGTTTGACTTTGCAAACTTAATGTTATTTTAATGTTTTATTTGTTTATTTTGAGTGTATTTGCTTCAGGTTGGGGGGTTGTCTGTAAGCGAGGACTGGCCTGCCTCCCAAGGTCTGTGAGAGCGAGGGATCATTTTCCAGGATAGGTTGCAGATCGTGGATAATGCGCTGGAGAAGTTTTAGCTGGGGGCTGTATGTGATGGCCAGTGGTGTTCTGTTATTGTCCTTGTTGGGCCTGTCCTGTAGTAGGTGATTTCTGGGTACCCGTCTTGCTCTGTCAATCTGTTGGGTACCCACTACAGGACAGGCCCAACAAGGACAATAACAGAACACCACTGGCCATCACATACAGCCCCCAGCTAAAATTTCTCCAGCGCATTATCCACGATCTGCAACCTATCCTGGAAAATGATCCCTCACTCTCACAGACCTTGGGAGGCAGGCCAGTCCTCGCTTACAGACAACCCCCCAACCTGAAGCAAATACTCACCAGCAACTACACACCACACCACAGAAACACCAACCCAGGAACCAATCCCTGTAGCAAACCTCGTTGACTACTCTGTCCCCATATCTACTCTGGCGACACCATCAGAGGACCCAACCACATCAGCCACACCATCAAGGGCTCATTCACCTGCACATCCACTAATGTTATATATGCCATCATGTGCCAGCAATGCCCCTCTGCCATGTACATTGGTCAAACCGGACAGTCCCTCCGCAAAAGAATAAATGGGCACAAATCGGACATCAGGAATGGTAACATACATAAGCCAGTAAGTGAACACTTCAATCTCCCTGGTCATTCTATTACAGATTTAAAAGTCACTATCATTGAACAAAAAAACTTCAGAAACAGACTTCAAAGAAACAGAGGGTCCTGTGGCACCTTTAAGACTAACAGAAGTATAGGGAGCATAAGCTTTCGTGGGTAAGAACCTCACTTCTTCTAACACGGCTACCCCTCTGATACTAGACTTCAAAGAGAAACAGCAGAACTAAAATTCATTTGCAAATTTAACACCATTAATCTGGGCTTGAATAGGGACTGGGAGTGGCTGGCTCATTACAGAAGCAGCTTTTCCTCTCCTGGAATTGACACCTCCTCATCTATTATTGGGAGTGGACTACATCCACCCTGATTGAATTGGCCCTGTCAACACTGGTTCTCCACTTGCGAAGTAACTCCCTGCTCTCCATGTGTCAGTATATAATGCCTGCATCTGTAACTTTCACTCTATGCATCTGAAGAAGTGAGGTTTTTACCCACGAAAGTTTATGCCCAAATAAATCTGTTAGTCTTTAAGGTGCCACCAGACTCCTTGTTGTTTTTGTAGATACAGACTAACAGGGCTACCTCCTGATACTTGAGATTTTTAGCAGCTGATTCAGGATTTTTGAATACTTGAGATTGACAATACTGTGCCACTCACAGCAAATTGTTCAGATCTTCCCACTCCCTTCTACATACTTTGATCAAAGTGAAATAGTTAATGCTGACATTTAAATTACCACTAATAGGCATCTATACTAACACCCACCAGATGACTGGCCAGTTCACACTTCTCTGAAGAATTATTAAACCAGCAAAGTATTCTTTAAGGCCTTGTCTGCACTAGAAAGGGTTTGCCTGTATAGCTATATTGGTAACTCTTCCTTGTGTAGACGCATGGGCTATACCAGTTCTCCAAAGAAAATGTACTGGCAAAAGCATTTTGCTGGTATAACTGCATCTACACAAGGGCTTTTGTTGGTATAAATATGTTGTAAAAAAAACACATACCATAAGAGACATTACTGGCCAAAGTTTATAGACTAGATCAGGCCTTAGATACAACCAATGGCATGATGTCTCTGTGAGTTTGCAGAATTGTAATAATTGAGGTTGGTCTACAGCCAGAACTTGCCCCAGTTTAACTAAAATCAGATTTCAAATTGATCTAGGGGTTTGTCTACAGGGAAGTTATATTGGCATAAGGTAGGGTATGAATTTAAAGCTCTATAGTTATACTGGTATATCTCCCTGCCTGAACACTCTTATCCTGGAATCAGGCTATGTCTATACTATGGACCTTACAATGGCACAGCTGTACTGCTATAGTTGTGTTGCTGGAAGTCTCCTATGTAGCTACTCTATGCCAGCAGGAAAAAGCTCTCCTGCAGGTAAAATTAAACCACCCCTAACAAGCAGCGGTAGTTACGTTGGGAGAGCATCTCCCACCGACATAGTGCTGTCCACACCTGCACTTTTGTCAGTGAAACTTTTGTCAATCAGGGGGATTTTTTTTTCACACCCCTGACCGACAAAAGTGCTAGTGTACACATAGCTTAAGTCTAGTGCCTTTTTCCAGTTTACCTTATGTCACTTTGAAAGTGTTTTAAACTGGGCTTGTCTACACTTAAAATGCTGCAGCTGCACCACTTTAGCACTTCAGTGAACTTTCCTGTCGACCTAGCACTATCTATGCCTGGGGTTAGACCAGTTTAAGGGCATTACTTGGGTGTGGATTTTTCACACCTGTGAACAACATAGTTATATTGACTTAATTTCCTAGTGTAGACCAGGGCCTTGGCTACACTGGCGCTGTACAGCACTGCAACTTGCTGCGCTCAGGGGTGTGAAAATGTCCCCCTCCCCGAGCGCAGCGCTGTAAAGCGCCAGTGTAATCAGAGCCTGCAGCGCTGCACGCTCGCTCGCAGCGCTGCAAGCTACTCCCCTCGGAGAGGTGGAGTACATACAGCGCTGCGAGAGCTCTCTCGCAGCGCTGGTGGCGCGACTACACTCGCGCTTCACAGCGCTGCCAAGGCAGCGCTGTGAATTCCCGAGTGTAGCCAAGGCCCAGGCCTTAGCCAAAAAAGCCCATGCTTATTCCAGAATAAGAGTGTTCACATGGGAGAGTTATACCAGCATAGTAGTTTAACTACTAGTATAACTGGAAAAACCTTGCGTAGAGAAGCCCTTAGTTATACCAGTGCAAACCCTTAAGTGGACAGCCTGATGTCAGTTTGCCAGGCTTATCTTTTTCAGGCCTGGTCTATGCTTAAAACTTTTGCCAGCATAGCTAAGACAGTCGAGCGTGATCAAACCCAGTTGACACAACTCTGCTAGCAAAAGCCCTAGCACCCACAAAGTTAGATTGGTAAAAGGAGCCCTGCCGCCCAGCACAGCTATGCTAGGAACTTGCACAGGAGTGAATCCACAGCTCAGGGGTGCTGAGAGCCATTGAACCAAACTGTAAATCATGTATATGATGGAAACCACTTCAAGCCAACCGGTACAGCAGCATCCCTACTTCCAGCACTTATGCTATAGCTAATCCACTAAGTAGACCACGTCTAATGGCTGACTAAGCAGAGACTAGGATGGGCCACATCCACCAGTGCCTCGGTCCCGCTCTGCACTTAGGGCACCATCCAGTGACAGACTGGCCTCCTCCTCCAGCTGCCACTCATCGCTTCCAGCCAGCGCTACGCCGGGCCCCCTCCCTCTGCTGCAGCTCTGATTGCCTTCCCCCGCCCTTTCAGCTGCCTCGCCAGCCCCGCCCGCCTCTAAGCTCCCCCCCCCTTCGCTCGAGCGCGCTCCGCTCCCCCGCCCCCCACCTCCCCGGCCTGGTGGCGCCTGCGCAGTGCGGCGGGGAGGCGGCGGCGCGCGGGGGGCCGTGCGGGCGCAGGAATGTGCGTTACGGTTAAATAGTGGGCGCAGGAGCGGCCGCCGCGGCGCTCGGAGCCGGGCAGCGCAGGGAGGCGGCGGCGGGGCTGGGGGGCCGCTGGGCAGGGGACGGGCGGGCTCCATGGCGCGGCGCGGCTTCCTGGGCGGCAGCGCCTCGCTCCTGTGAGAGACGCTTCCCCGCCGGGACCGAGCGGAGCTTGGCCGCGGCCGGTGCCGGGCGGAGCGGGGCCGCGTCTGCCGGGCGCGCCGGGGCTTGGGGCGGGCGGCGGCGGCCGGGGCACCTCCGCCTCTATGATGAAGCTGAAGCCGAACCAGACGCGGACCTACGACCGGGAGGGCTACAAGAAGCGGGCGGCGTGTTTGTGCTTCCGCAGCGAGCGGGAGGACGAGGTGAGCGCGCCGGGGCAGCGCGGTGGAGGGGGGCAGGGCCGCGAGCTGGGCACGGGGTGGGGGAGAGGCCAAGGGCCGGTTCCCTGCGCCGGAGCCAGGCTGGGGGGCTCCTATCGCCTGTCTCCGCCGGTGCCTTTGTCCCGCGCGGGGTGTCGGGGGAAGGGGCTGTTCCGGGGCGAGTCCCGCTCTCGCTCCCCTTCCCTCGCCCCAGGGCAGGGTAGCGGCAGCCGCATGGCTGGGTGCGAGACGTCCTCCCTCCCAGGCTGCGTGGCGCTTGCCTAAGGCCCGATCGGGTCGCTTTGCGGGCCAGGGCCCCGGTCGTACCGCTGCGCTTCGCCCTGGCGAGCACGGGGCGCAGGGAGGCGGGCGGGCGGCCAGCTCCGGGTTTCAGACAGAAAATGTCACGGTGAGTCTGTGAAGAAGGAGGAAGGTTGCGGGGATCTCCGACTTCTCGGCTTTTGTACGGTGAAATGGAGCTAAAAGCGGTCTGTTCAGAACCCTGGTTCCGCGCATGTGGCAAAAGCGGCATCATCTCGGCATAACCTGTGCGCATCGCCCTGCCGGGCGTCTCGTTCCGCTTACGCACCCGTAGCTCCATCAGTCGAACAGATGTCTCTTTCGGAGTATAACGTAGCGAAACATCACCTCGATTACTTTCTTTCTTGTGTTGCAACTTCATTATTGCGGGGGACTGAAATATTTGGGACTGTCACCATTTTATAATCAACAAACCCAGCGTGTAAAGCGGAGTGCTGACAGATAGGCGGCACCAGCTCTGATTTGTGGCCAGAATCGTTATGGTGGGCGAAAACGGGGTCTCTGAATCTATTGTCTTTTTAGTTTGTAGGGTATTTAGAATTATGACTTGACTGTACAGCAGTCTTGGTGCTGACGTTAACAGAATGTGATTAGCTCACAGTAACTTATTTAATGCTGACTCTCTTAATTTAATGTATATTCATTATTTGCATTTTTTACCAAATATTTGGTTAAGCGATTTGTAATTTAACAGATTGTACTGCATATATTTGAAGATGAGGTATACTTGGTATGTGATGACAGTGCTACGATGAACTTGGGATAATCCTGATTGTGCCCTACTAGTGAATTTGCATAGTTGTCTTGGATTTTTACTTTTCATTGAGTGAAATTTGAGTAGTCTTCAGTCCCCACAAAACTGTGTGCTAAACACTTTACAGTTTAAAAATATGGTATAGACATTTTCTACATTGCATTGAATTTTAGAGGAAAGTTGAAATGGTGAATATAGATGTGAGCGGGGTCTTACATTGCAGCAAATATAGGAGACGACAAAGTTCTGTACCCTTAATCAAGGTCAATTGCACAGGCAGTTATTTAAGAACTTTTTTGATGGTTGCATTGCACAATGTAATTAGACATTATCTGTGATTTGGAAACATAAAAGCTAGAAACTTGAGTTAATAATGTTTTTAAATAACTAAAATGGTCATGAAACTTATCTACCAGAAATTTAAGATTTGGGTTTTTCCCCCCTTATCTGCATATGGGAAGAAGTCTTTTTTCTAAAGATACCATCTTGCAGGTTTCTTATTCCTAGAATATGGCACCTTAGTGTGAGACAGAAGAAGTCCCCTATCAGAGTATGACCCTTGAGGTCTGCAATAGCTGGGGAGACTATCCTAACTTCTGGACATTCCACTGAATTCCTCCTTTACCATGGTCTGCAAAGGAGCAACCTGCAAGAGACTATGCCCTGGTCTACACTGCAGACTTGTCAGTATAACTGTGTTGCTCAAGGGTATGAAAAATCCACACCCCTGAGCGAAGCAATTATATTAACCAAACTCCCGGTGTAGATAGTGCTAGTGCTTTCTCTGGTCGGTGGCATCTTCACTAAGGGTACGTCTGTACTACCTGCCAGGTCGGCGGGTAGTGTTAGATGTATCGGGGATCGATTAATCACATCTCCTCTAGATGCGATAAATCGATCCCCGAATCGACACCTGTACTCCACCTCCGCAGGAGGAGTAAGCGGAGTCGACGGGGAAGCTGCAGTGGTAGATTCACTGCCATGAGGATGGCCAGGTAAGTTGAACTAAGATACTTTGACTTCAGCTACGCTATTGCGTAGCTGAAGTTGCGTATCTTCGTTCCAGCCCCTCTTCCTCTCCTCCCCCACCCCCAGTGTAGCCCAGGCCTAAGTGCCACAGCGGCAGTGTAGGTGTAGACAAGCCCCATGTCTCCTCAGCTATTGCACCACCTTTTCTTTGGATCCCAGCAGCACCTTAGGTGTTCTGGCACACTTCGATGCTTTTGCATTTGTTTTTCTCAAATTTGAGTGCCTATCTCAGTACTCAAGAACTGCTGGTTTTTGTCTGTCTTGGTGCTCAAACACCTGTTTTGTCCCGCACTTCAGCACTGTTACGGCTTTCTTGTCTCACTTAATCAGCTGATATGAGCCAGCTGTAGGTGTTTAATTGCAGTGTAGACATGCCCTGTTTTTTCACACCCCAGAGCAACATAAGTTTTGCTGACATAAGTGCTGGTGTAGACATAGCCTTAATTTAGGTGTTCAGAAATATACTGTTTCTTTACATTCACGTACTCCTTTCCACCCAACTTCCTTGAACAGCTAGTCATTTGTTGAATTAACTAAGTCACATTAACTATATCATTATGTAACCTCAACAGAAGGTATGAAAAAGCAGTAACTTAAAATTCTTAATTTCATTAGTTTCTTTGTGGTCCTCAAACCTCTTGTTAGGCTCCTAGTGTATGTTCATCACTTGTTCATATTACTTAGCCTAGTACTTTCAGCAACACCTGGAGTTTACTCTCTAGTATAGCCTCCCCAGTTTGCTTTTGATTGAGATGGGCTTGCCAAGTGCTGCAGTAAATTCTAAACACTTAGCTGCTGTAATTAGAATTCATCCATATCTGCATTTAGCATGCATTAACCTCTTTTTGTACTGTCCAAGACACCCTAAGAGTGTACACTTCTTAAATGTGATGCAGTCAGATTGTAAATGAAATCTGTTATGTACCATAGTCAAGACTGGCAAACTCCCAAAACCAGAAGTGTCTAAAAAAAAATGCACAGGTTATCTATTTTGACTTAATTATGTTGAATGTCAATATATTACATAGGCAACAACATTGCTTTAAAGAAGCATCATAATATAAAAGCATTTACTGAACAGCATAATATAAAAGCTCCAAGAAGCAACTAGTATGTACATGTAGTGAATGTTTGCCTCCTTTTGTATTGTAGCTCCTTGGTCTTAATTGATCTCTGCATTCTTTTTTGTGGGGGAATTAATAAAATAGAAGGATCTCCTGCCTGATTTCGCCACTGAGTTGTTTCAAACAATGTCTCCTTATTAGTAGGATCACTTTTTCTTATGTATGGGCCTGGATTGAATGAGCTTTCCAGATGATTACCTTTGATGTAAAAAGCTGTCTGGCTCCTGTCCATTTGAGAGACCAGTTCTGTTCATGTTGCATACCTGCAGACTGCAGTCACTTAGGCTATATCTGTACTAGGAAAAAAGGTGTAGTTTTAACATGTTAGCTGATTGAATTAGGGTTTACCTCAGCTGTGTTTAAAAACACAAATGTCTTCTGTACACTAAGATTTTAAATTTAGCTAATACATGTTAAAATGTTTTCTTTTGCCTAGAAAACATGCCACATGCCCTGTCTTGATTATGGGAGAGTGGTTTTTAAAAATTAGCTAATCTGACATTAAGGTGTCATATGCAGTGTTGCATCCGTGTTGGTCTCAGGATATTAGCAACACAAGGTCCAATAAAAGATACTTCCTCACCCACCTTGTCTCATCAAGCTGTCATGTTAACTTAATTTTAAACAGGGAATATCTTACTGTTTTTAAAAAGCACCATTTCCCCCAGTAAATACAAGTCCTAATTGAGTGTCTGAAACATGCTTTATGCACTGTCTAATACCTAAATTTGGGGGCACAGGGCTTTTGACTGGAACATATTCCTCTCCCTTAACTGTCAGAGTAGAATTTGTTCACAGGTATATTGCGAAGTTTTTTGTTCAGTGTAGTTTTCTGTTAGTGCTGGCTTGAGAGAGAATGGTCTTGGTTTTGTAGTGTTCTATAATGATATTTGGCCAGTTTGACCTGTTAAGTTTTGGTTTCTTTGGACCTAAAGAATTTTGGAGCCATTATCTAAATTTAAATACTAATATCAAATACCTAAAAGCAAAATCTCGCCTCTGCAAAGATGTAGTGTGCTCTTCTAGGTATCTTAATGCCAAGACAGGTCAGTGATATTTAATTGGTCCTCCTTACAACTGAATGAATGTCAAAGGTATGAACTTTTTCTTACTTCGGCAAATGAACTACTGACTTGCTGATCCTTAAACCACACTCTTTCCCCACTAACTACAAGTAGCGGTAAGCACAACACCAAGAGAAAAATGGCTCTTGCAAGGAGCCCAGAGTGATTGTGATACTGAAGTTTTATCAGTAAAAACCACATTCTGCTGCAATTTGGGCTCATTATTCAAGCTCAAGTGAGATTCCATTTGGTATGGCTGTGGTGTGCATTTAAGGTGAGGGAGATGTTTGCATAGTGGTCCAAGTCTGTCATTTAATTTTCTCAACCAATTTTCAGTAGAGTATAGGTCTGTCCAGCTTACCCATACAAAGACTGTCCTGTTCAAGCTCTTGGGTATTAACATATGTAAAGGGATTTGAGTTCAGGTCACCTGTACATAATGTTGGCCCCACCACCCTCTTATGGTCCTTTCAATGCTACAATAAAAAAAAAATCAGGGAACCTGGTTACAACAGTTTGTACTCTGGATGAATTTAAGATTGTAACAGAATTGGGCAACTAGGGTACAGCTCAGGGTACAACTGTAGGACTAGTAGAATCATGTGATCACAGGTACAAAGATACTGAAAGTGATGAAATGGAAGGATATTTTTATTTAGTGAACAGTCATTTAACTTAAATGCTCTACAAATAATTGGGAACGTGTCTGTT